TATCCTTGACTGCATTAGAACTGCAGTCGGTGGGAGCATAAACTGAAATCACAAACAAACAGCGTTTGGTACTACTTCGTGACTCCACCTTAGCTGATGTCGTCAAACGGGCTGCACATAAACGGCTGTTCACCGGAATCCAATCAACCAACGACGGCTCAGCCTTGGAGCTTAGAATGATACCTACAACAGTTTGACCCGTGAGTGCTGCATCGACGTTTCTGGATGCGTGCGACCAATAACAAGAGGACAAGCCGGTGCAGTTAATTAAACAAGACCATTAAAGTCATTGATCCTAGATTCGGACACACAACACACCTCAATACCCAATGTGTCCAAGGTTCGTGCGAGTGCAGTATGTTAAGCTACTTGTCTTAGAGTGCGAACGTTGAACGTCACCTTGGAAACGGTACAGCGTGGCCTTATAATGGATTGTTGCCGATAGGCGTCTGGTGCGTATCACGAGGTGGCTGCAGATGGTTCTACTCCAGTGGCACTTCGGTTGCTGTCAATTAAGCTGGGGATTATAGAAGGAAGGTTAGTAATGGGGGTCGGGCTGGGAGTAGGAGCAACAGGTGGAAAAGAAAGAAGGGTGGCGCCAGCAGTAGCGTGTTTTCGCTTATCCGCCCTGCTGTATGCAGCAGATAATGCGACCCTCGATAATCTGTGCGACGGCCGATGCAGGATGAAGTTGATGGTTGAAGAAAAAGTCATGGTTGTATGTGGGCTGTGATACTGCCAGGGCGCCCAAACCTAGACAGGAGGACGATTAGGGTACTCATCCAAAGACTTTGGCTCCAAAGCCTGTCCGCAAGACAGCGGGGAGGTGGCAATGATTTAGTTTTAGCATTTAGTTTTAGAATTAACAAAGCTCGCGAACTGGTGTTCTGGCTCGCGATTAAGGGTCAAATCCGAAATCTAGTATCAAGCTGTTCAGCCTGCCCGTCCCACGATGCTGGCCAAGCAAGAGAACTAATGATGCTGCGTAACCTTCCAGAGCGACGATGACAGAAGGTAGCAGTTGTCTTGCCCTGGGACAACTGCAGTGACTATTTCATCACGGTGGACTACTACAGTGCCTATTTCGAGGTCGATACCACCGCTACCAACAGGGACGCAGTCAACAATAAACCTAGATGTCAGTTCGCTGGACACGGGATACTGGAAGAAGTGATCACCGAAAATAGCTCGAAATATACAAGTTCTGCGTTCCAAACTTTCGAGAACAAGTGGGAATTTTCGCATCGACAAACCAGCCCGTCACAGCCAATCTAACGGAAAGGCGGAGGCAGCGGTCAAACAAGCCAAGAAGCTGTTGTCGAAGGCTAGAGCCACTCATGTGGATCCATAACTGATGCTGTTGGAAATTCGCAACATGTCATTACTGGAAATCGGTCTCAGTCCAGTTCAGCGTCCATACAGCAGAAGGATAAGGACCATAATGCCTGCTTCGGCGAAACTTTGACACCCGGTCTTTCCGTCGCATGTGCAGCTGTGAAGAAAAGTTATAAAACGGATGTCCGATCAGAAACGGTATTAAGACCTCGATAACTGGGCGCTAACTGAGCTGGCAGTAAACGAGGTAGTGTGAATCCTACCAATACCGGGTGTCAGCGTGCGATGGAAGAAAGGTGTAGTGATCGCCATGGTCGAAAAAAGATTGCATAACTTCAATACTAGAGGGAAGATAATCAGAAAGAACCGCGGGCAGCTGAGAGGAGATCAGCACCATCTGCCGCCTTCTCAAAACACTCATGTTTGTGGATCTGCAGTTATCACCTTTCCTGTATGTCAAAGCCTAAGCACTCACCACGCGGTATACACCATGTGATCCCCGCTGGCGTCAACGCAACATCTGACCTCTAACAAATGACCACGCTGATGCACTGAAGCACGTGATGAACATAGTATAATGAGAGTGCACTTTAGCGCGTCTCCACTTCTTCGCATCCAGGTGCACACAACACAACTGGATCGACCGGAAAACGGACGTGTACGCATGCTTTTACGTGCTCAAGGCTCGACGCATCCAGTCACAACCGCACAGCAACCGGAACCGGACTCACAGCCATTATGCATGCACATAAGTCTCTCGCCCTTTTGTATATCATTATTACCTGTACAATATTATTTTTTATATTAGGGTCTGGCCTTCTGGTTTTGTAACTAAGTTCTATTTAAGCGGCACTAATAGCAACAACGGGAACGAGGTGGTGAACCTGAAGCAAGGTGCACGACGGTTTTCGGTCAGGTCACAACGACGGGGGCAGCAAAGACCACGTGGAGTAAACCAGTGTACGGAGTCCTCAGTCACATCAATGCGGCTGAGCTCGAAAAGCGGAAAGTTGTGAGGAGATTATGCAAGCAGAAGAACGATACGAATTTGCATGACGAAGCAAACGGCTAGCTTGCTGCAAATGAACGAAGCTGATGATTGGACACCTACGTATCTCCGCCTACACGCTGACTGGTTCGTATCTGGCAGTGCTGGAGTGAGTTTGTTTGAATGATTCAAGGGAAGCATCTCCTGCATGCAGTGACGTCCATAGTAATGGAACTGAACTAGTGATTTACATCGACGCTTCTACTACCTAATCATGCTGTCAGTTCCGCAGAACTTGCTTTGTTGAATAGACCGTTTGTCCTTGAAGTACCGAGTTCTGCGACGTTGGGGATCCGGCAAAGATTCTTCCTTTTAGAGGTCAAAGCACTGTAATCTGTACCTATACCACTGTGTTAGCATTATTCGCAATAATGAAATGAAGTCTTTACCAGCGTGAAACCGATCTGCGCTGACTAGCTTGGCTGTGTACAATCGGTGCTTTCGCAATACGTCTATCAAGCTTGTGTGATACTACCAGTTATAATGTATAGAAAGGCTGAGAACGAATAAAAATCGAAGTCAACTATCAGACACCATCAGCTGTAAGCGATACTAGCTATCAAATTCGGACTGTAGATCCACTCGGTATCGAAGAAACGCTCCAAATACTCAAAAAGCGCCACCGCTATGATCATTGCAATTGGACTACTGCAGCCGGAGGAGGGCAAGAAAAAAACATTGGTGTATGTCCGCATTCTACCCTGGCTGCAATTAACTACCGTTCACATTGGAGAGTGAAGGTGGCGAGTACGAGAATGGTAGCCTCATCTGCCAACGCGGCCGTACTTTGTGTGCGTGCGCCTGTGTGTGATCGCTTGACTCATGCAGCCTAGCATCCGACTGAATCGACTGAAATCTTGATCGACTTTGTTGACTCAACCGATCGCATTTCCAGTTTTCTTTAGGCTGACACATTTGGCCCAGTCTTGTAAATGTGTTCGCCTGAAGTGAGTCACCGAAAATATCACTCAGCAATTGTGATTCTCCTAGCATCCGAAGGGGCATGATATTTGTACGGAAACTTAACGTTATCTAAACGGGACTATTAGCTTTCGAAAAGCGCGGTAAAAACACGGAAGCTCGCAGGTGCATGTATTTCACTGAACGTTGATGCGAGCTCTAATCGGTGACGCTTGACCAGTAGGTTTGTACCTATTCTGGTGACTGGATGCTTACACGAGCATGAAAACTCAGGGGATGGGCAGAGATGCCGGTCAATTTTACTTGAAACTAATCATCATTTTATTTGCCCCTGGAAGTCAAATGCCTACCGTTTCAACCTAAGTAACTGGCTCCACAGTCACACAAGAATTGGTAACGAAAGGTGAGTCGGCACTGACTGAACATACATCATTTTTGTGTAGCTGATATTACGCGCTTAGTGGTGTAGATCAAAATTTATTCGCCCTTTGAGTGCAAGTCCATAGAGATAATTTTCTTTGCTGCCATACTTGTAATTAACTTTGCTTTTCGGACAAGCAACAAGTCGGACACATTCGTCTAGCATGACTAACCAACATTTTCGCAAGTGTCTACTTCTACTGCACTGGTACGAAGCTAGTGAAGTGCAGGTTTTTAACCAAACCATGTTGAGATACTGCAGATGCATGTCTTAAACCTAACAGAACTGAGGCCTTGTGCCTTTTGTTGGTGGCAGTGGGCCGGTGTCCTGTGTCTGCCAATAAGTTGCAGGCACAGTTTCTGAATATATATGGTGAAATAAACGGAATTGTTTTGAATCAGCTTGCTGTTTTGATGCATACAAGCTATACTAGGCAAAGTGCTGCACAATAGGTACAGCGGTATAGCGACAGAATCGGAAAGTACCGACAATTCGGTACAGTGTTCTGGTAGGGTATATGAGTCCAGCATCTCCGAGACTGCTAAGGATATCCAGGTAGGTTAGGTCTTGCATCTGTTACTACTTTACCTCTGCCGCAGGTCTTCGCATGTCTGCTGTTACGCTGCTCCACACACTGTACCATCTGTCGCAATTGGACGTGTTTCCGTAAGCGTCAGTAAATAACTGGAAACAGCCACCAGCACTTTGTGGTTTTTGGCCACAAAGCGTGTACCGTTATAGGTATTTGCTTTCTGGTATGCTTTTCTCTTTTGTGACAAAAGCACTTGCTAAAGAGTCTGCATTACTCGTTCCATCGCATCCTTTTGACAATCCGTTTCTATCGCAAGTCAAGATGCATAAGCATGGATTGGTGCAAGGGATATGTAGTTAACCTCTATTATTAGCAGAGATAACTTGTAGTGATAGCAATTTATTCCTCTCCAGGGACTCACAAGTTCCAATTCCAAACTTGCAAGTTCCCAAGCTTGCACGATTGGTTTCACGCTAGCTTCACGTGTGCTTCACAATGGGACGTTAACTTCTGAACTTTCTTTCTAGGGGCTTATAAAAGGCAGTGAGCAACATGTCTTACGACTCGTGAAAACTGTGTCTATGCCTGACCCGTGTATCCAAAGCCAAAAGTAGGGTACCGATCTAGGACAGCCACAAATCAAACACAATGGGGACTTCGAAATAATCTTACACAGTCCGTCACTTAAGTCACTGGCACTAAGATGTATAGTAGTGTTGATTGCACACTGGTACGTAACTTACCTATGACTTGCCCAAGTCTTCGTCGCTGTCTGCGCCTCTCACGGGCATCAGTAACGTCGTCTGTCGTAAGATTACAGTTAGGGCCTGTGGGTAGCAGGCTGTTGTGCAAGGACGACCGAATCTCCACCGAGTTCAAGAATACTGGATACCAACTCTTTAGCCGCAAATCAGTTGTAGGATTAGACGAACCCCCACATACGCATGACTCCGGTCCGTCTTTCATCAAACAACCAAATTGTTCCTGTGTGTTGAAACGTCCGAGACAGCGATATCCTGGGAGATCTTTTGTCGTTCCATAAATTGGATTGAATTTTGCCTCAATCTACATATATTTAGGTGGGGTAGTAATAGGGGTTAATAAAGAAAGAGGTGGAAGACTCAAAAATTGATGGCAAACCAGGCATTTGAGCCACAGTGGAATAACACATGTCAAAGCTTTACTCTTCAAGCTGTCGTGATTGAAAGAACTCCGCATTGTTATCCTCGTCTATATCATCATCACCGATCTATTAGTCATATTCATTAACACCACTACATCAGCATGTTGAACTCATGCTTCGGTCCCATTCAAAACCACAGCGACCGGGGGAATGAAGAATAATAAGTGGGAGAGAAGCGGACCTGGCTTAATTCACTAATGACTCCGACACTTATACAAGGTAAAAGCACTTGCACCTTGAAAAGATGTACGAGCACAAACAGTTGAGGATTATGCGGAGAAGTTTTCTCTCCCGTTCGTCAAACTCCATTGGGGTAAACATGCACGCATACCTTTCCACCTGGGAACCACATCCTTCGGGGAACAAAAGTCAGCGATTCGGTCTTCCTTGTATTCGCTCCATTGCCTAGCTTCGATCGGTAAGCTGGTTTACTTGTGAAATCGTCTATTTTGCACAGTTTTATCACCCAATTGCGTGCAGCTAATTGCAGGGCTGTAGCAGAAATGAAAGACAGATTTCGCCCGAACTGTAGTTGTACATCAAAAGTGCAACACTGATTTAAATGCACTCAGGAAACTAACTGTTTATTTCTATCTGTTAAGGTTTTAAACTGGATGGGTTACTTCCAATTGGCTTAAAAAGACAGCGGCTGTATTTATGCATTGTTGTAAACAACCAAGCCATCCTGGATTGTATCTCATGATGGTTAGAAAGACCAATATGATTAAGTACGTCTTCCGGAATCACTGTGAATGGGTTGTTGAATCTACGACGTCAAAACCGGCGAAACTAAGTGTCAGCTGCATGCCGCGTCTAATCTTACCTCTAGACTTTAGCGTCCAATGCATGGTCACAATGAAACACAAACAAAGCCATTAGTTTCGCTTTTCGCACGTTTGTCATTTACCGCTTTTAGTCGGTCACACATAAATTGTGGCTGTTCTAACTGTATAAAAATTGAGAAAGCTGTAGCCTTGCCGAGTAATGGTTACCCACTACATTTCATAAAGCGCTTTAGTGACACGATGAGACGAGATGGAGTGACAGCGATACAAAAGAAACCGGTTTTCCTAGAGTGACCTTTCAATGGTGCCAATGTCATGAAACTCACCGCTATGCGAATAAGCAGCCCAACAAAAAGTACATGTAACCTAGTTGAGCTATTCCTGCTGGTGTCCATAAGGCTACTGCTCAAGTGTCCAATGGAGACACTGGTGTCGAAGCACCGCGCATCACATTGCACATTTAAACGCGCATGTAGCTGTGGTACAGCTAGTTTAGGAGCACTGATCGAAATCCATGAACATGTTTCAAGGTGGCTCCGTAAACGGATGGAACACGTGGCAGTTGCACCAGTTGAATAGAGAAGCAAGGTTGCCTCAGGAATTACGATGCATCGGATGAAAACCGAGCGTCAGGAAAACTCCAATGCATTGTTCATAGTCTCCGTGCGCAGCCAACGGCTTCACAACCTCAAGCTCATCAAGGCCATTGTCACAGACTGACAGCGCCTAACACCCTGTGTTCAAAAACAGCTGTCAGCGAGACCAAACACACCGTGTCGGCGTGAAATGAACCAAACGGATAATAGTTCATCACCAATCGATTCCACATGATGTTGTTTTGAATCCTTTGTCCGGTGCATGTACGTGTCCGAAGAGTATGTGTGAAATGACTGTTTTCCCCCAGTGTTCGTTTTCTGATGTTGTTTGTAATCGAGTATCCGTCTCCACTTTTTGGACTCCTGTTTTGTTCCATCATATCGCTGCAAAAAACTGTAGGCTGTTGTGACCACGTGGAAGATGAAGCGGAAAGGTAAACTAGAGCTTCTTCTCCACTTGGCACACCCCAGTTGAAATCTGCTTTTACTATTCCGCACCAAACACAAGGCACCTATGTTTCCGTAGAAGCTGATAGGGGAATGTGGAGTGTGTCTCCATCTATACACCTCCAATTCTCTAGGTACTATTCTCGTTCGGTTCTGCCTAACGCAACGCGTCCTTCGTGTGTAGAAACTGCAAAAGAAAGAACTTTACAAAAATCGATTAGCTTTCAAATTAGTACGAACGACAGGAATTGAATGCACAAGTAGTACATTGGTGCTCCTGTGTCATTACAAACGTTTTTTATTTATCATATTTGTGGTTAAAATTGACTGTTGGTCGCTTATTCTGTCATACAAAACTTTGTGTAGGTTAGCGCCCGTGGACATTCGTCTTTTTCTGGCAGTTAGTTCCCTTTAGTAATTCGAACAGTGCGGTAAGAAGACGAAAGTTGGTAGATGCACGTATTTCCTATTGTGCCTACAGTAACGTTAACGATTACCGATATTCCACTAACTAAGTAACTATGGGTTTGCCAAAACAAACTTGAGGTTCAAAATAATTCACGGTAGTTTTTACCTCTATGTGAACATGGGCAGTTTAAAGCTCATGACGAATTGTTTTTGTACACACAGGGCTGGCTTTATCCGGCTATTTTCCCACGGCCTCGGCGTAACGGAGGAAGCGAGGATTAGATTGAAATCGCACCATTGTGAACTTTGATCCGAGCTGTATCCGGTGGCGCGTGACGAGTAGGTGTCTACCTATTGTGGAAGCTAGTGGGTGTGCGAACTTTATTTGTATGAACTTACCTGTCGACTACATCTTGATGGATTCTATCGCGAAGCAGCTGTCATAATCTTAAATGTTATCGGCAGACTTACGGAACAGCTTTGCAATACAACAATCTATGCAAGGGCGCTTCAACACACTTCCACAAAGCAATAGGGGATAACATATACAACGAGAACTTTGAAACTTTGTGAACCAAATTTCCATGGAATTAGTTACGTACACCTGCAACATCGACCTGTGATATTTTGTGTGTAAATCGAATCCTAACTTCGGTCTCCAAAGAAATGCGTGTCTTGTGTACTTGAGAATATATGTTTCTATCAGTATTATGTTTTCCTGGTAGAACTACGCCTTACTGTGACCATCTCATGACACTGCTTCGCTGTCTGAAGGGAGGACAAGACTGCAGCGTCGGATTGAAGTAGTGCGTTTTGTTGAATAGGGCCATCGGGATCAACAGAATCATCTATGCTTTGACCACGATACATGCAAGTAGACGCTGGCGCTCATCAACCCGATTTACACACCGAAACGCCTAGCTGTTGTGCTGGGACATCTTGAAGATTTCTTATCAATCTTCTCGTAGTACATTTACGGCCCATCGCTTACAACCGCGGCTAAGAAAATCCCAGTCAATAGCTCACTTGCCTTTAGTGCACATTAGCATGTGACCAGATGAGACACAGGAATGCGGATGAAATGATTCGAAGCACTACTTCGCATGGAAGCAGTTTTCCAGGAGATGGTTCCACGGATGGTCATGCTACTTTACTTGAACTGCTTGCTCTAACTTCCACATTTTTCTTACTTTCATATACTTGATTACTGCAAAGCTTCCCTGGGATCTACATTGTGCAATCCAAAAATTTTCTCCGCCGTCCCAGTATGTTGTATATTTTGATCAGACAATGCATTAGGTCTGCGTCTAGCACCGCCGAAAAACATAACTTTATTTATTTATCGCATTGCAGTAAGCTAAGATTTTATTCGATCAGTCGCTTGACAACCAGGTTTTCTTTTGGTCAACCGCTAGTTCCAGCGCTTAGTACAAGTATGGAAACCAGGTTATGTTGTCGACGATACTAAAATTATAGACCACAAAACTAAATCATGCAGAGTAGTTGAGTAACAACTACACACACGCAGTATTATAAACGCCGCAAGGAAACCGAGAAACTGGGCGTCACCTTTCTATTCACTAAATCTGTCATTTACGTCTATCGTGAGGATATCCTGGCGCAGGTTTGTCTACGAACTACGATGCTGAGCAAAGATCGAGCGCATTTACGACGACTGCCGACATGAGTATGCTACGACATTGACCGGATGTTGTGCGCAGACGTCCGTCGCAGTGAATGTCTAGTCGCCTATGTCTGTGCTGTACATCCGGAGTGAAAGGTGCTACTTTTCGTTTCACTTCTCATGCGTGTGTAATGATTGTCAAAAGAAGCAGGTGTATATTATGGGAAATTTCATGGGCATATTTTCAGAACTGTACCCAGACTGTTGAATGTTGTAGGCTATTCAAACGTTAATAGGGAAGGTGACGACGAAAAGGTGTGAGATTGGGGAGAGTTGGCGATATCTAACTCATGTGAACAATAAGCGATAGATACCAAATGTACTTTGCTATAAGGTAACAAAAGGAGGACAGTTCTTCTGGTAAAAACAGCCCTTCGGGTTTCTCTTTATGTACTGGAAGAAAAATGTGATATGTGGTCCAGTAGGGTCAAACATTACAAGAGGGCTCACTTGTGTACTAGACCCATCATACACTCATGATCCCACGCTCTATTCCAAAGTATAACCTTCCCGGCCTGTAGCGGACCAAGTTAGTTTCAACATTCGATTTACCATTTAAATATGTTTGCATTGTATCTAGTTTACTTTTGGTGAATTGTTACCCGCTCTACATCCATATTCGCCGGCATCCTTTTTTCACTTGCCTATTCGGTGAGTCAATGGGTCGACGTACGCTCCCGTTCGCTTGGTCTGCGAACATGGTCCAGTGTTTCAACTCATTCGTTCTCTGTTATTCAACTTCAAATTAAAATCAAATTGGGCAGATAGGAAAGGAGAATCCCATGGTCGTTCCAACTTGAAAGCGTCCTTGATCCACTATGGTGTCCCTTTGTGAGAACCAATGCAGCACGCACAGATCGCGCCGTGGCCGACCAATAAATGCCCACGTGTTGTGCGCCAGCAGACCCTGCGTTGACCGCTACGTGCAACTAAAAAAGGAAGAGTGAATTGTTAGGTTAGAACAGGATCACCAAACTAGGTCCCGTGGGCCAAATCCGGTCCGCGATGATGCTTAATCCGGCCCGCCCACAACACACGAATTTGATCACCCGACTAATTCACATGCTCATTCTGGTTCAGTATTGATAGAATCTGTTCTGATGCCCTTTCAATCACGTCATAGTGACACCACACTTTGTTAACACATACAGACAATATACCCGTCACATCTGAGCCATGTTTGGCCCATTCCCGTTGCTTATCAGTCTCGACAGGTTGAGAGACACCCAGTGTGCTACTCATCCCCTCCGAGAATCCGTTCGCCTGCATGATTGTTGGTTCCCCAGTTAAACTACAGTTGGAGCTAATTGATTTACAAAGAAATGGAGTGTTAACTGAGAAGCACGGAAGGAAATTTGGTTGGGTTTTACCGTTGCTTAGCTATAATAATAATAGTAATAATAATAATAAGCATATTTCTCTTGATGAGAGA